GTCAGACACAACTGAGCGACTGAACTGAACTGAACTGAACTGAGGAAGGCCCTGCCCACCACAGCAAGATCCAGTTTTTCCCATCACCAGTCCCTCCAATCAAGAAGCTTACACAAGATTCTTAGCCTCATCCATCGGAGGGCAGACAGAAGCAGCAAGAAGTAGTCTCACAGCAACTAAAACAAAAACGTATTACAGAAAGTTAATCACAATGAGAAAGCAGAAAGTTATGTCCCAGGTGAAGGGAAGGGACAAGGTAAAACTCCAGAAAAACAACTAAATTCATGGAGATAGGCACTTTCCAGAAAAACAATTCAGAATAATGATAGTGAAGATGATCCAGGATCTTGGGAAAAGAATGGAGGCAAAGATTGAGAAGATGCAAGAAATGTTTACCAAAGACCTAGAAGAACTAAAGAAGAAACAAACAGAGATGAATAATACACTAGAAGGCATCAACAGCAGAATAACTGAGGCAGAGGAAAAAAAGAATAACTGAGGCAGAAGAATGGATAAATGACTGGGTGGACAGAATGGTGGAAATCACTGCCACAGAACATAGAAAAAAAAGAGAAGAAATGAAGACTGCTTAAGAGACCTCTGGGACAACATTCAATGCACCAACATTCTCATTACAGGGGTCCCAGAAGGAGGAGGGAAAAAGGGCTTGAGAAAATATTTGAAGAGATAATAGCTGAAAACTTCCCCAACATGGGAAAGGAAATAGTCAACCAAGTTCAGGAAACACAGACAGTCCCGGGCAGGATAAATCCATGGAGGAACACACCGAGACACATAGTAATCAAACTGACAAAAATTAAAGATGGAGATAAAATATTAAAAGTATCACGGGAAAAATGACAAATAACATACAAGGGAACTCCCATCAGGCATCTCAACAGAAACTCTACAAGCCAGAAGGGAATGGCATGATATATTTAAAGCGAAGAAAGGGAAGAATCTACAACCAACAATACTCTACCCAGCAAGACTCTCCTTCAGATTTGATGAAGAAATCAAACCTTTCCAGACAAACAAAAGTTAAGAGAATTCAGCACCACCAAACCAGCTTTACAACAAATGCTAAAGGAACTTCTCTAGAAAGGAAACACAAGAGAAGGAATAGACCTACAGAAAATAAAGTCAAAATAATTAAGAAAGTGGTAAAAGGATCATACATATCAATCACTAACTTAAATGTAAATGGTTTAAATACACCAATCAAACAAGATAGACTGGCTGCGTGAATGAAACATGTGCATGTATGCACTCCCACTTACCACATCACTGTGCTTGACTTCTCCCCCGCAACCCCCAAATTGTATGTAATTATTTTATATTGTTAAGTTAATCATGTTCCCATTATGGCTTGCAATTTTAACTTTTATTTTTTGCCTGGCTATTGATTGTGAAAATTGATAAACATCTTTTACTCTTGTGATTATGTAAATATTACTACTTAATACCATTGTATTATGATTCTTCAACAGAAAATAATAGAACTCTCTATCACCAAAACTAGGAGCTAATAGAAAAACCTGTAATCACTTTTTAAAATCCAGATGCATATCAGATTTTGAAATTTTTTGAAAAATACAAATGCTAAGATATTGCTTTTTTTCTCATTTAAGAACAACTGGACTATATGATGATCTTTTATTTTTGTCTAGTTTGTTTCACTTTTTCTATTTCATAGTCAGTGCTCCCATTTCATTTAGTTTATGTTCTCCAAGTTCTCCATCTCATCTTTTTTAATTTTGGCTGTTCTTTCTCAATTCTTTATCTAGTAGAAAAGCTTTTGTATACATATATATGTATGTATAATATATATTTTCAGTTCAGTTCAGTTGTTCAGTCGTGTCTGACTCTTTGCAACCCCATGGACTGCAGCATACCAGGCCTCCCTGTCCATCACCAACTTCCAGAGTTTACTCAAACTCATGTCCATTGAGTTGGTGATGCCATCTAACCATCTCATCCTCTGTCGTCCCCTTCTCCTTCTGCCTTCAATCTTTCCAAGCAATATATATTTTAGAAAGCATTAATTTTGCCTGACTAAAAAGTTTATGACATTTTTATTCCATTTGTTTGACTTACTATGAATAGAACGCTAGATTTCTACTTAAAAAACAGATGTTCAACAAGCAACAAAGGTTTACTATATAGCACAGGGAACTATAGTCAATATCTTGTAATAACCTATGATGTGAAATAATTTCAAAAATAATAATGTGTATTTGTATAACTGAATCACCTTACTGTGTACCTGAAACACTGTAAGTCAACTATACTTCAATACAATATACATATATTTTTTAAAAAGAAAGTAAATAACCCATTTAAATAATGAACAGAAGGTCTTAACAGACACTATCAATGAAGATACTTGCTGTTGTTGTTTATTCACTAAATAATGTCCGACTCTTTTGCAATCCCAAGGACTGTAGCCTGCCAGGCACCTCTGTCCAAGAGATTTCCCAGGCAAGAACAGTGGAATGGATTGCTATTTCCTTCTCTAGGGGATCTTCCTGACTCAGGGATCAAACCCATATCTCCTGCATCTCTTGCATTGACAGGTGGATTCTTTTACCACTGAATCACCTAGGAAACCCCAAGAATACTGGAGTGGGTAGCCATTCCCCTTCAGGGGATCTTCCCAACCCAGGGATCAAACCCAGGTCTCCAACATTGCAGGCAGATTCTTTACCATCTTAGCCACTAGGGAAGCCAATGGCAAAGGAACCCATAAAAAGATGCTTAGCATTGTTAGTCATAGCTATGCTGTGCTGTGCTTAGTCACTCCACTGTGTCTGGCTCTTTGCTCTCCCGTGGACTGTAGCCTACAAAGCTCCTCTGTCCATGGGATTCTCCAGGGAAGAATACTGAAGTGGGTTGCCATTTCCTCCTCCAGGGGATCTTCCCAACTCCTTACAATCTAAACCGTGTCTCTTACATCTTCTGCATGGGCAGGTGGGTTCTTTACCATTAGTGCCATCTGAGTGTCCTAAATGGAAAAGACTATCCCCTCAGCAATTACCAAACTGAAGGTGTGAGCCCATTCGGGCTCTAGACACATACTTGGCTGCTGTTTCCCAAGAGCTTAACTGAACTATCCCCCCACTACCCCTCACCTCTGTCCCCCACTAACCCCCACCCTTCATCCTGCACCAGCAAACTATCACAGTGCATTTCTACTGAACGCTTATGAGAACATTTGGAAAACCTTTTAAATGCAAATCTCTCCTAGACATTTAGGGATTTAGAAGTGGATACTTTACCTGTAGCTTTTGGGGAGGTCATTGTGGAGGTCATCCTGTTCTCATCTTTCCTCTACAAGCCCCAAATTTAGTTGGAACAAATATACCTGCACTTTTTGTTCACTCTGTGCAACTTGTGAAAATGAAAAAAAAGAAAACAGTTGAATCTAATACCAGCTATGAACATAATGTCATGTTCTCATTTACACCTGCAGAAGAGATCTCCCACAAGAAATTAAATGTCTGCTGGGCAAAAATAACTGGCATACATAAAGTCAGCTGAAACATTAACACGGGACAAGATTTCTTCCAAAGAAACACTGCACAAAGTCGAAGTGGATTTGATAACTAGTGCTTTTTACCTGGTCAACGAGAAACTTCGTTCTCTAAAATCAGAGTATGAGACACTTTGTTCTTTGAAAATGTATCAGAAGAGTGAAATACTCTTCTGTTAGCTGGTCTCTTCCACACAGAGAACCAGCCGATCTCATGCCCAGCGCAGGAGTCTCTGGACACATCAAATGATCTATATTAAGTATGTATATACATGTATCAAGTATCTATATTAACTTGAAGTTTCCAAGTTGGCAAGACCCTTTGCAACCCAGATCTAATATTGAACCCTTTACACATGGCCATAAAGTTGCCTGTGACCCTATGAAAACACTGATTTACTAACATTTCACCTCCCTACACCCTTCCCTAAAATCTCAAAATAATGGCATTCATACCCCCTGAGATGCCCCATGGTTCCACCGCTATATGACCTTGCTTGCTGCAGGCCAGGATCAGATCATAAAGGTGATTCTGTGGCGATGCAGGTTTGTCAGACTACAGACTGATGGGAAAGGAGAAAAAGCTCTGCATGTTCTCTGTTAATACTGGTTTTCACACATTTTATCTATTTACAGTTTTTGGATGTGAGAGTTGGGCCATAAAGAAGGCTAAGCCAATGAAGAATTGATGCTTTCCAACTGTGGTGTTGGAGAAGATCCTTGAGAGTCCCTTGGACTGCAAGGAGATCCAACCAGTCCATCCTAAAGGAAATCAGTCCTGAATATTCATTGGAAGGACTGATATTGAAGCTGAAACTCCAATACTTGGGCTACCTGCTGGGAAGAACTGACTCATCATTGGAAAAGATCCTGATGCTGGGAAGGATTAAGGCAGGAGGAGAAAGGAATGACAGATGACGACATGGTTGGACGGCATCACCGACTCAATGGACATGAGCTTGAGCACACTCCGGGAGATGGTGAAGGACAGGGAAGCCTGGCAGGCCGCAGTCCACGGGACTGCAAAGAGTCAGACAAGATTGAGCAACTTAACAACCAATTATAAACAATATCCGGGCCACTATTTCACTAGAAAGTATCTAGACTATAGTTTTGGTTTAAAAGAGAGAGAGAAAGAGAGAGGGGAGCTGGAAAAGAAAGATCCCCTATTTTACTTGAGTAGCGCAGGCTTTAGGAGGAGCGCAAGCGCGACAGCTCGTTGTTCGCGCCACTCCACACGGGGAGCGGTCTCGCGGTCGGAACTACATTTCCCAGTGGCCTTTGCGGCGAGGCTGGCCGAGCGGAAGACAGTTCCAGGAGGCGCTGGCGGCGGGAGAGGAGGCGGGGCCTGTGCGAGGGAGGCTGGGCGCTGCTGCCCTGGCGGGCGGCCCCTGCTGGGCGCGGCTCGCGGTCTTTTCTGCTGTGGTGGCAGCGACGACGGCGGGAGACTGGAGACGCAGGGTCGGAAATGCGTGGTGGGCGGGGCCCGGCCTTGTGCAGGGTCCGGCAGGTGCTGGGCGGGTCCTGGGGAGCCTGGGCTCCGGGGGACTGGGGAGCCGGGGGCGCGGCGCGGGTGCCGAGGCCCGTCGCCCCCGCGGCAGGCTTCCTTCCTCGGGAGAAGGGGCCGGCGGGGGCCTGCGGTCCCCAGCGCCCGCGCTGTTCTCCGGCGGGTCGCGGGGGCGGGGGCTCCGGGCGGTCTCCTCGAGAGCTCTGCCTTTTCATTGCCTTTGGGAAACTCGCCTCCTGCGAGCCGTGGCTGTCGGGATAACCGTGTTTTGGCTTGTTTTATAGATTCTAGAATGTGTCCCTCCAGCTGGGCCTGAGGCGTCCGAGTCAACCGTGGAGGAAAACGAAGATGACATCCAGTTTGTGAGTGTAAGTAGCAGCGGTATTTGGGGTTTTCCGAGTCAGGGTTTGTGCGTGACGAGCCGCGATGTGATTACCCCTCGCCTGTTCCCTCATCGTCTGGCAAACGTGTGGACGTCTCACACCGACTGGAGACTGAGGAGCAGGACACAGGAGTGGGTGTGAGACCGGACACCGTGGAGCAGGCACAGGAGTAGAGCGTTTGCCCACAGAGGGATCTCGGCCGCCCCCGCAGCCATCGCAGAGACTGTGGCCTTTGGCCTGTTGGAGCCTGGATCACACCTTCCCCTCTCCTTTGCCCGTGGACCCGCTGGTGTGCGCAGGGTTCTCCTAAGACTGTGTTTGAATTGAGACCAGAGTAACTTCTGAAAGATGGCCCCCAGGTTGGGGAGAAGGGGCAGCTAGTGATGAGGAAGGAGGTAGAAGAGGAGGCGGGCTGCCGGAGGTCAGCATCAGAGCCTGTGTGTCTCTGTAGGGTGGGGGCAGGTGCCCTGAAGACCTCACTGAGCTCTGAGCTCACCCTGCTGCATCACAGTCCCGCAGGCCAGTTCACAGTTGAGGGGCCTGCATCACAGGAGCATCCTGTTATCTTTCTGTGTTTGTTCCCTTCTGACTGTTTTCAAGCATGAGTGAGTGGAAGTGTGCAGAATCCTGCTCCCCACTCCAGACCTATGGAATCAGGATTTGTAGGTGGGGCTTGGGTACCTTAATGTTGGTTCAGGGGTGTAGGAAGCTGTGAACACAGTTAGTAAAACATTAGTTGCAGTAACCAAAGGGGGTGTTGTGATATATTTCAGGATAATTTCCATCCCCAACTTTTTTTTTCCAAACTGTTACAAAGTCTCTGCTTAAAGTAGTATCTTAATTAGCTAGAGAATGTGTCTACTGTGAACTACTCTTTTTGAATATTATAGTTAGTTGAGGTTTGCTATTAAAAATGTATAGTCTTTCTTGAACTGGGTTCCTGTTAACCCAGAAACACAATGTTTGTGTGTTTCTTAGTTGCTGTAGACAGGGCAGCCATGTAAATGACTTGGTTTTAAATCAAACAAAATTCCCTCTCTAAGGATTGTGGTAACTTTGTTTTTGTTGTTTTCTTAGGGTTATATAGAAAATTCTTTACCAGACCATTTCTTTTACATTCTTCCCCAAAATCATTCATGTGATACTCTTCTTGACACTTGGAACTTTGTGGTACCAAGAACTATATGCTGACTTCGCCTCCCCATGTGGTAAGGAATAAATGATGTAGCTGTGGAAATTGAAGACCCATGATGTCTGTTTTCATACTGAAAAACATTAGGAAAGAGGACTGCAGAGGTCATTAGGAAAAATAGTTTAGTTTCTTTCTGACTATGGTGTAAAGACAATGAATAGGACATGATAACTTTGATGATGTTTTGTGGACCTCTAGATAGGTGTAACATAAGTGTTTATGATATGTGTGCTTTACTTTGAGAAATACAGTAAAATTCTACAAAATTAATTTGGAAAAATAGAATTTTAGGGTCATACTCTGAGGTTTAAGTGCATAATTATGTTATAAATTCTGACAGTATATCAGCTTGTGTTCAGCTGAGGTTTAGAATTCAATTTAAATTTATTTTAAATATAGAGAATTTTTTGTATCTTTGCATCCAGAGGAGTGTATATCCAACCTGATAGAACCTCTTATAAATAGAAATAGCCTTGTTTACAAACAGAGAATTAAAAATTTGACAGCTCCATAAGAAGTGAAATATATGCTCTGAGTGGAATTGCAATACAAGAAGAATCTAGTAAAAATATTCCTGTTGCATTTAAATGGTGCCACAGAAAAATTATAATTCAATTCTATTTTAAGCTACATTCAGATCAGTATTTACTTTCCTCTCACCCCATCCTATGCTGGGTTCAATCAGGATGTGTTTATTACTATGTTTTTTATAGTACTATCCAGCAAAGATGAAATGCTACTGGGTACGACTCTCTGCTTGAGTGTTCTCAGATACAAAAAATTTTTGTGTTCTTTTTATATCTTTTATCAAGAAGAATGTTACTCCTTGATGTATTCTGGTTTAGGTTTCTTAGTTTATTCATATAAATCTAATTTTCCAGCCATCAGTTTGCATTATAGCATAGCATCCTCTCTGTATATTGCCATATATATAAACCCCAAACTAAACACAGTATTGTTTATTGATGCTTTTGAACTGTAGTGTTGGAGAAGACTCTTGAGAGTTCCTTGAACTGCAGGGAGATCAAACCAGTCAATCCTAAAGGAAATCCAGTCCTGAACATTCATTGGAATGACTGATGCTGAAGCTGAACTCCTATACTTTGGCCACCTAATGTGACAATCTGACTCCTTGGAAAGGATCGTGATGCTGGGGAAGATTGAAGACAGGAGGAGAAGGGAACAGCAGAGGATGAGATGTTTGGATGGCATCACTGACTCATTGGACATGAGTTTGACCAAGCTCTGGGAGCTGGTGATGGACAGGGAAGCCTGGTGTGGTGCAGTCCATGGGGTCTCAGAGTCAGACACGACTGAGTGACTGAACTGAACTGAAACACAGTATGCTGAAAGAAAGGAATGATGAAAATTGGGGAGTGCAGAGAGCACCGCTATCTTTGGTATACTTTTTTTCTGAAGTCCAGTGTACTACAGAAGAGGCCACCAGCTGGCTCACTGTTCTCCTTGCCCTCACTCTGCGTTTGTACTACATTACTGTCTGTGTGGGTTGGTTATCTTGTTAACTAATCATCCCCCATTTCATACTCTGCTAATCTTCCTGAAACACATCTCTAATGTGGTTCCCATCTCAACACTACTAACTTGATTCCTTTGCCTGTAGAATAAAATCTAGGTTTTGACTGGGGTATTTAAGGCCTTATTGATGTTGAAGGTAGTATGTGTGTAAGGAAAGGATTGAGGAAATTTGATATTTGATTTCATAAGGATAAAGAGGATGAAGCCAAACTATCAAAGAACTCCATGATTTTGAGCTTAGAGATCTAAAAGATTATTGATAACCATCCCAGTTATAAAATACTGTACCATGATATCTGTATTTTTAACATTACACTTGGACTGTTTTCCTGTTTCCATGGAGTACATGGCTTTTCCCCCTCTATGTATATTTAGGACCTTTTTGGGTTTTGTCATTTTGCATATTGGTCTTCTCTGGATCTTTACCTCTGCCGCTTCTGTTTCTGATTGTTTTGTGCTATACCTGTGATGCCTCCTCTTCATAGCAATTCTTGCCAATTCCAACCAAAAAATCCCAGTGATTGTAAATGTACGTGTGGTTTCAATGATTGTTCATGACTTGTAAGTTTGCTGACTTCCTTCTTAGGAGAGACCATCACGACCTCTTCTTCAATACATTGATCTGATCTGTGGTGATGATAAAGAGCCTAGAACCTATTGTAGTGATGTAAGTATGTTTGTGTTTCTTCAGTTCTGTCATTAAGTACAGTATGTTCTGGATATGGCTTGAACTGGCTTACAAGAATCAATTGTTAAATTTGAGCTGATTGTTAAACATAGATATTATTAAAACTTAAAGTATAACTCAGCCATAGAAAAGAATGAAGTTATGCCATTTGCATCAACATGGATAGACCTAGAGATTATCATACTAAATGAAATAAGTCAGAAAGACAAGCACAAGACAAGTGTGGTATTACTTATATATGGAATCTAAAATATGATACAAATGAACTTATTTACAAGACAAATAGACTTACAGAGATAGAAAATAAACTTATAGTTATGAAAGGGAAAGAGGAGGGAGGGATGAATTAGGAGTTTGGAATTAGCAGATACAAACTTCTGTATATAAAGAATATAAAGTCCTATTGTGTGTTGTAATAACCTATAATGGAAAAGAATATATATAACTGAATCACTTTGCTGTAAGCCAGAAGCTAACACAACATTGTATATCAACTGTACTTCAATTAAAAAGTTCAGATATATAAAAATTTAAAAGTAAATAGGTTATTATTCCATTTAAGGTAATAGATGCGCAAACCTCTCCATATCCCAATGTCTTCACACTTGAGGTTATTTACGTCTGCTGTACTGTGTGGTAGAAACACTGTCTAATGGTGTGCTCGTGAAGGATGATGGGAGCATTTACAGCGAGGTAGTTGACAAACTGCAGAGCAGGGGTTGGTTTCTTATTTGTTGATTGTCTAAACTGAAGAAAGTGCTAGATGAAATCTTAATATGGATTAAGCTTAAAAATGTGATATGTCTCTAACTACTAGACTCTATTCCGTACGAAAAATTGAGGAAATCTTGCAGTATTTGAAAACTCTTCATTGATTCAACAAAAGTGTTGATGTATCATTGATGAATGAGTGGAGTTCTGATATGTATATTTTTTTAAACTTTCTTCTTAATCATGTACATGAAAATATCAACCATTCTTCACACTACAGCTATCTTTACTTGTAAACAATATGAGCGACTTTTATGTTGAATTGGGTGATAATCAAAAATTAAGTCAGATTTTGTGACATTATTATTGGCTATAGAATTTAAAAAACTGATAGTGGATTTTTCAAGAAATTACAAGTCATTGTAGTTATAGGCACAAACTGAAAATCAAGGTAAGCTAGTTTAAATTTTATTTCTAAAATTAAGAACTCATT